CTGTCCTCAGGTTCCCATTTCTTCTCTAGCAAGGCCTTGAACTTAGCATAGTAAATTTGCCAGGGCAGTGCCTGCTCTCTTTGCAATACTGCTACTCTCACACTCAGGTCTGATTTTCAGTAAATTGTTCTCTGATTTCAGTACATGTGGTGTCATAGAGGTTTCCTGGATTTGACGTTATGTCCCCAGTTGATGGTTGGCTGACCTGAGCCCACCATTTGCTTTCCGTGGTGTATCCATGGTACTGAATCTACATCTGCAGTCCTTTTTGACAACCACTGCTGCCATATCTCTTGAATGGCAGAGATATTGCCTAAATTCAATATATCCCCTTCCTTTTGTATCCTGACCCAATTCACCCGGGTGAGACCCTTAGTAATAGTGACCCTGTAGCCTGCCAGGGGTTACCACACTCAGTTGTCACTAACAGTGAAGTCTTCTTCACTATCTGGCCAGTGACTGATCCAATTCAAGAATTCCACTGGAGATTCTGCTTCCTAGACCACTTCCAGTATGAATTACTTTAGCTTGGGTTCTCCCAAAAGTAGATCCTTAGACAAGATTTCACATTGTGGTAAAATGGGTATTTGCTTTTAAATTATTTGTTAAATTGTTCATAATTGTATGCTTATATTTTATATATTTGATAGCACATGTGCTATATTTCTCAATTAATTTTTAAATCTCTTCTTGTACTACAGAAAGAAATAAATTCCAGATGAGTTGAAAATTAAATATAAAAACAAAATTATAAATATATGTAGAGAGGGTAATGTAAATAAGTGTTTTACTGACATCAGGGTAAGTAAGGGTATTCTATGCATAAAATCACTGGGATATTTAATAATTCAATAATTCTTTAAATATTTTAAAATTAATACTTTTAATAATAAGAGTTCAACAAACTATAATACATAAAAATAAAAAGAACCTTTTTTCATGTACAAAATTATAGAAATTAAAAGTAAATGACAAACTGGAAAAGATATTTGCAATAATTTTTGTACACAATGGGTTAATAAACATAATATAAAAAGAAACTATAAATGCTGATAAGAAAATGACTAGTTCCTGATAGAAAAACAGCCAAAAGATAAGAGTAGGTAATTCATGAAAGAGCAGTAAAAATGGTCCATAAAGATGAAAAACATATTCAACCAGGAAATGAAAATTAAAACAATAAGAGAGTTCCAATTAACTGTTTCAGATTAAACACACAGATGCTCTCCTTAATCATTAATATGACAGAGAAAGGGCCCAAAAGCATAAACCCAAAGATAATGGCTAAAGAGACAATAACAAACGAAAAATGTCAATTAATTTTATAAAATAGAAACAGATGAATGGGCGATAATCGACTTAGCAGAACTGAGAAAGCCTATACCTTGGTCTGCAGGGAAAGCCAGGGAGAAGATCAATTCCTGCCCCAAACCCTGAAGATATGCAGCTGCTGGAGGCACCAGATATCTCTGAAGGCAGAGTCGAGGAAAGGGTTGATGGAGGAGGGTCTGCAACCTAATTTTGCTATTGGTGTACATGCAAATTTGGACATCTTTATATTTCCAAGGATCCTTTATTACCTCTTTCCATTCTAAATTGAGCTCCCACTCTTCTACAGTAGTAAATAATGATGATTCTTTCATTTACTCTCACAGAAGCTTTCAGAATATTTTCATTTGTACAACTGTTATTGGACAATTTTTGTGTCTGTTTTAAAGACAATTTCTGTGTACACCATGCACTTGATAAGGCTGCAATACTGACACTTTTGGCACCACTTGAAGGTACATCTCAGAATGCCTCTTTAAGTGGGAGTTTCTGAGTAATGATTCTAGTAGTCAATTTAATTTAGGAAAACATAATAACAGTTCTCTGGGAAAATAAAAAAAAATAATTTCCTGGATTTACTCAACGAGTATATTTTGAACATCCAATGTGTATAACACAACACAAGGCAAACAAATTTGACTCTTGCCTGACAGTATCAGGTGTGGCTCAGTGGTTGACCTATGAACCAGGATGTCACAATTCGATTCCTGGTCAGGGCACATGCCGGGGTTGTGGGCTCAATCCCCTGTGTGGGGCATGCAGAAAGCAGCCGATCAATGATTCTCTGTCACCATTGATGTTTCTATCTCTACCTCTCCCTACATCTCTGGAATCGATATATATATATATGACGACTTTTGCTAAAGACCTGAAGGTTGACTCTTGCTAAAACCTGCAGGTCTTAAATTTGGCTTCTTGGATTCTTTTAGGCTGAAGACCATGTTCCTTAGTCTTGTAGGCCTCTAAGACTCTGCGTAGGTTGGTTCCTACTCACCTCTATGACTCACTTCCTACCCTTCTTACCTTTGCTTTCAGGGCTCCCTTGGACCGGTTTTCAGTTCATTCAGCCACATTGGCACCTCAGTCTCAGATGAGCTTTGCTTTCTCTTACTGAAGGATGATTGCTCATCTCTCTGAATGAAATGGACTGTAGTCACCATCTCTAGTCCCCAAAGTTGTACTCACTGTTAGCTTAAGCTTTCTACTTCTTCCGGTAAGCCTTGTAAGATCTAAGTAAAACCAGGTTAGGTTTCCTTGTTATACACTCTCATTTTTTTCTTATTCTTTTCCTTCAGGGAAGTAATCTCAGTGGGTAATTACACATCCCTTGGTTTATTTGTTTAATGTCTTTCTCCGACTCTGGAGTGTGAACTCCATGATGTTGCTCACTATGTAAGGTCCATTGTTTTACTCGGTGTCTGGAACATGGATGACACTCAATCAACATAAATTGAAAGAAAGAATACCTTCAAGTTTAATTTTGTTTTATTTGTTTTCTCAAAGAATGGTTTAGTTGCTGGAACATTTTGACCTAGTAAAACCATAGTGCTCTCTGTGTAGATTTTTAGCTTACAGACATTTGGTTTTGATTGTGGGAAGTAAAGATGGGAAATGCAGGATTCTATTTATACTAAGGGCTGCTATACCCATCTTCTTGGGGTAATTTATATATATTCAGTTTGTTTGGGTTGGTCATTCTAGAATATTGATAGCAACCATCAGTATCCAATTCAGATACTAACAGGTACTCTGTTAACATTAAACAGTTCTTTATAATTTCTGGACTTTATAATGACCATAAAACGATCTGATAGAGAAAAACTGAACTCACACAAAAGATAGAAAAACAGTTGCAATTTACTAGCAGTTAATCAAAGCGTAACTATATATACAGTGTTACTATTGGAAAGAACACACAGCAATATTCCTGTCAGTGACTTCCATCTCTCACGTGAGGGAGCTGGTGGATCTGTCTGTCTTGGTACCATTTAGATTATCTTCTTCATTCTTAACCCAAGGGCTGTAATCCACTGACTTCCTTTATTTCCCACACTTACTCATGCCTTCCCAGGTTCAGTAAGAACAATCACTTAAAAAAAAAAAAAAGATCAGTCCTTGCTGCCAATAGTGGAGTTCTCAGTCTGTTTGAAAGTGTGCAGAGTTCAGTCTTCCAATTCAGAGGCTCCCTTACCCTCCCCGCCATTGTGTGCACTGGCGCAGTTCCATCTATTGCTGGAACTTCTAATGTGAACTCTGTGAAAAGCCTGGCACTCCTGCCAGCTATGTGAAGAGGCTGGTCTTTGCATTCAGCTACCTCTTTCTGCAAAATGCTGCTTGCATTATTCCTTTCTACCCTGTGGTCTGTCTTTCACTGCAGTCTTTTCGTCCTGATGTAGCATTGGGAGAGTTGATCACCTCTGACTTTTAGAAAAGAGGTACAATTTGCAGATTGAGGCTAAAACGGAATATTCACTGTATGTCACTGTCAAACATCTCCTTGGCTATCCTTGCCTGGTGTTTGGCTATAGTACTCATTTCTAGGTCACTTACATGTCATCTCTGAGAAGAGAAGCCCTGGGATTACATTAGCAGACAAACTATGAATTAAAGTAATTAATTTTTATTATCAATTTGTAGTCACCAAAGAAGAAATTAGAATTCAACCAGGAAAAGAATTTATTGACAAATTTTTATTGATAAAATAATTTACCAAAAAATTATGAAAAAATTTAAAATCTCTGAAAAAAGAAAACTATATCAACTAAGATAAGAAAAAGGTATGTCTGTGGGTAAGGATGGGTTTTCTATTTGGGGCTGGCTATGTAAGTGACATCAGCAATACTTCTGAAAAAGAAATGAGGATGTGATATTACAGCTCACAAGCAAGGCTACGGTAAAACAAACATCATGTGCACATAGGTGACCCCATCTCCTGCCCAGCTATATTCATCGTGATACCTACTCCAACATCTTAATCTGATTCCCAACTTGGATCAGTCCATTCTCCCTTTCCAGCCACCGTGACCTGAAGATCATCTTATTTCATATGCTTGGCCTGTCATTTCAGCAACAGCTTTTCTTCCTGGTGTGGGCCTGCTCTTTGCTGGGTCCTTTGGCTCAGTGCCTCTGACCTTGGGTGGCTGGTACTCTGAGTCTCTCTGGCTCCCTTCCCACAGCAAGTGATGACTGTAAACTATAAGACTGTTTTCTTTTTTTTTACTTTTTTATTTTTAAAGTGTATTAAAATGAAAAGTTAATATTATAGCCTTAAGAAAAGTTTTGGGAATTTCTCCGTTCACTGAGTTGGTATATTAGGTTCAGCTATTCTGACATTAAGCAAGAAGGAGATTGTAGATTATTTTCCATTTCATTTAAAAATATTTTAAAAATGGATATAAGCATCGAGTCAATATTTTTCCTATAAACCTCTTTCCTTGCACTAGGAACCTGAGGAATGGATTAGAGTTGCAATCTTCTATTTAGGCTTAAAATCTTATTCCAAAACTCATGGGATGCCAATTTCATCTTATTTTTTGCTACATAATCATCATTCTCTTCACTCAGGAGATCTTTTGTAGAACCTTTATGCTATTCCTGAAGGTCCATAATAATATGCTCTTAGTTTTGAAAAAGCTGGTGTATTCTAAGTAGAAAGACAAAATCATTGTGTGTTTTTTTTCCATAAATGATCACTGGATGTCAATGGCTCCACAGGAACTCTACTTAAACTTCTACCGTGGGCTGAGAGTTAGTGTTCCAGCCTGGGCTAGAGTGCTCTAGTGAGACTGAACTCAAATGAGACCAGCCAATCCAGAATTCATTGTGAATTACCAAAAATTGAAGACCGGGCTGGAGCTTTGCCACATGGATTCCTCAGTGGTGTGTGTGTGTATGTGTGTGTGTGTGTGTGTGTGTGTGTGTGTGTGTGTGTGTGTGTTTTGTGTGTATGACTTGTAAGCCGGGAACACATCTTAACACAGGTCTGTTGGACAGACAAGGAATCGACAACTCAAAATCAGAAAGGCAAGAGCCAGGTTGACCCGAGCGTCACCAAATGTGCTTAAAGAGGAAATGTGTCACCAAGTCTTTGCTTTAAATGAATGTCTAAGAGTTTCCCTTGCTGGCCCAACTCTCACAGGTCAGCAGTCAGAGTGGTTTGTGTTTTTTAAATTGGGCCAGTGTCTCCTTTAACCAAGACCTGCTCTATCATGGGAGGCATGCACGCTCCTGGAGTGGCTGGTGATTCCTGAGCCCAGGTAACTCCTTCAATCATTACTATCTGGTTAGTTTTCTGGAGCCAAGAGTGGGTTCTCTGCAATGGGCCCTGGAGAAAACTTCCCACCAAGAGGGCTGACTGGTGTGTGGCTCTAATGGTGTGTTAATGGTGGAATGTCTGTGTGGCAGTGGGGCCCTGAATTTGGTCCCCTGTCCTCTGGATTATATCCTTCTCATCTTTGAGGCCTTATAATTCCCGTTTTAAAGCCAGATATCCAGGAATGCATGTACTTAATCTTCTTTGTACCATTCAGGGATAAGAGTATGTCCTTCTGGTAAATTATAGTACTGTATCTGGTAGGGAAAAGGGGACGACTGTAAAATAACCAAGTTACATAGTGCTTTCACATACACTGTCACGTGATTCTCACAACGACCCTGTGAGGTAGGTGTAGCATATAATGTTTTCGTTTTTATTTTGCAAAGAAAGACACCAAAAACTAGAGATCTTAAGTGATGTGCCCCGAGTCATGATAAGTGCCAGGAGTCAAACTTTAAGCCATGTCTTCCAACTTCACAGCTGGATTCCACCTTTCAGCAACTACAACCTGAGGGCTACCAGCTTGATGCCATAACGGGGAAGGCGCTTAGTAAGTGAGCATCTAGCTTGTTTAAAAGTCAGGTGGTTTAAAAATAATATATTAGTAACCAGAATCCATGGGATCACCACTTGCAGGGATTCCCCTGGGCTTGCTGCTTGCGGGTTGCTTTGGCATATTAGAAGATCATCTGTGAGTCAGCCTGGACAATTAGGAGCTCCAGAGATGAGGGAGTTCTTGTGGCCATCATTACAATGCTGTAGCACTTACCACGCTGTTTAATTGTATGACTTCCACTCTGGAATACAAAATTTCTAGGGCAAGCCCTGTGACTTATTCATCATGATGTTCTCAGAATTTATTACAGTGCTGGGCACGTAATATGTCCTCAACAAAAATTGGTTGAATTCTCAAGGGGTTGGGATGTTTCATGGGATGCTTCCATATTTTACTTGTAAGAAATTGATTTGCATGGAAGAGGTATTGTAGATGAATGTGAAGCTGGGTATAAGGAACACTCAAGTTATTTTGGTGGGGGGAGTATACACAGGCACTGTTATTCCAGGATGTAATCTCATGGTTCAAGTGATCTTTGTTTACAATGACAAATTTACTCAATGTGGTGGCTCTACCTTAGTCAGGGATCCGTGCAAAATGTAGGTATTTGATGATCACTGGGGGTAAAGGGAATGGCCATTGGCAAGGAGAAAAGTGGATGATTTTGGTAAATATGAAGATAATGTTTTTTAATAATATGTAGAGAGCTCCGTGATAAAATTCTCCAAAGATGATTAATCACAATCACCAGTGATCCAAAAAGGGTTGGAAGAGGCCTCTGTCTTTTTCTGGTTCAGTTCTGCCAAGGCACATTCCCCCTGGTCCTCCACATCTTTCTGGGCACTTAGCCATCAGAAGTCCCAAGACCCATAGTTGAGATTGTGGTAAATCTTGAACAGGTAGAAGCTGGAGGACAAAGCTGTTGCGGTGCAGCGTGAATGCACCCAACCAGAACATATAGGCAAGACATCCACTGCGTAGGCCGTCCCTCCAAGCCTCATAGGCTGGCTCCAGTGATACCAGGACCGGTGGCTGAAAGCAGCAGTCCTGATGTTGCTCTTCCATGGGTGGATTACAGCCAAGATTTTGGGTGTCATGACCTGGTGAGTAAGAATTTTAAACTTAGGATATAGTACATCAGCTCACCAGTTTTGGGTGCTCAGGATCTAGTTAGTGGGTCCTGAAGTCCATAGGCAGGAAAGAGATCAGCATCTCTGGTGTTGGGTGAGGTTATGGGTCATCCAGGGGTCCTCCCACTTGTGATGATTGGTGCAGGCCATGACTGGATGCCTGGCTTCTCCAGGTAATGGTGCCAAGTTTCAAACATGGTCTCAAAGGCCAAGGAATACTTCCTTCAGATGTTGTAGTTTCATTCTGCAGGGAGGAAGCCTGTGGGAACAGAAAGTATAAGGTTGATGTCAGACAGTATTTGGCTTTCCGTAGTCCTATCATTACTTATAAGGCTTTGATTCCACTTTAAGGGGCCTTTTAAAACAAAGCCACGTGTGATGAGAGCTGTTGCAAACCTACCATGAAGGGCTTCCTAGGTTTTCTGGACCCCAGGCAGCCATAAGAAAGCAGAGCATATTGGCTGCTGGTTCCCTAGAACCTGTTTCGGGGGGAGCCTTGGAGTTCAGCCAGGCCTGGATTAGGGTACACTGATAGTTTACAGTAGATGAGGCCTTGGCTATCTTCCCCAGAAAGTAAAGTCAGCATCGCCCTCACATGGAGAGTTAGTGGAGCATTCTATCAAAGTTGGTCTTGACATCAGTCGCCTACAATATTTTGGAGTCTGTTTCCTTAGATCTTAAATCTCAGATCTTGACTTTAAGTAATTAGTTTTAGACCATGCAGGAGCTTTAAAGCACTCATAGTTAATGATAAATAGATAAATCCTACTAAAGTTGTAATCATTAATCAAATTTGGTATTATTAAATGCATTCTAACTTATTTAAATATGTGCTCTTAACGAAGGAACTTCTCTGTTCTTGAAGCCTAAGGGGTAGTCCTCATGATTCAGCCATATATAATAGAATCAGAAACATTGAGATCAATGGCAGGAGCCTTGAACCTGGGCGCACATCATGAAGCTTAATTTTGTCCAGAAAGGATCAGAGTGATTCTTGCCTCCATGTCCTTTTGGGAAGAATTTGTGCCCTGGTTTTATGCTTATCAAAAACTTTGCTAGTGTCATAGAACTAGAGAGGACTAAGAGTTTTAATAGTGTTAGTAGATAGATGGCACTTACCAGTTAATTGAATTAATTAATCATATGTCAGCAAGGCAAATGGTTTGACTGAGCTAAAAATAGCAATTAGCTTCAAAGACTTAAGACTTCAGGATTTCACAAAGTGAGCTATGTGAACACTAATTCCAAGAAATGGGTTTTATCAGTAAGCAGATTCGGGAAATACTGTGTATAATATCTACCTCTCTTGAAGACTTAAGTTACAAAGGTTTAAAGGCTCTGGGAAGTCTTATAGTAAATAATCTTGTTTAACTGTGTTTAACTCAATATGTCACCAACATTTCAACATGGAGTTAAGCTTTTGAATAATATTCATTATCATCTTGTAGAATAGAACAAGTTTTAGGGAATGCTGGACTAGCAAGTAAGGTGAAAAAAATCATTTCTAAAAACAGATATTTTCCCTATAAAAAATAGACAAATTAACCAATTAGTAATTATTTATTACTACAGTTGTCTTAGAATTAAGCTTGGTTCATTGGAAAATAGAAAATGCACTTTTATAAGACATGAATTCTGCCTTTAATAGAATCATAATCTAGTTAGGAAGATAAATTTATTACAAAAAAACCCCAAACCAACAATAACAAATAACACCTGAACACACTGCATATAACTTAGCACTAAGTTAAATAATGAAGACTAATAGATTTGGTAGTTCTACAGAGGAAGTCAAGTATTGGAATAATGAAGGAAGAAATCATGGAGAAGGTGGGACTTGTTTTGTAGGGATGGCTAGAATTTTGACAGGTTGTGGGCAATTTTAATTAAGGACAAGAATACACAAACTTTTAGGGTTCTAAGGCTCCTAAAAGCAGGAAGAAATGTGGCAAACAATACCTTGTTACATTGTAATCATTTACTTCTAATACTTCTAATATCTGGAAGCCTTCCCACCCAGGGACAGAATGTTCCAGAAGTACAGTTTTCTCTTATTTATCCAATACTTCTTTAGAATTCTTACCTGGTAAATTACCATGAGTTAATTAATTGTTTATTGTCTGTGATAGTCTCATTGATGGCAGGGAGAATAATATTTTATTATTTTTATATCCTTGGAAGGAATGTATTTGCATCCCTATCATCTAGTCCATGGTAGGCCCTTGATAAATATTTGTTGACTATGTGAGGGAATCAGTGAAAAAATTATATGGCAGGAAATGGTCTACAACAAATTGGATTTTGTATCAGGGAATAATGAGCAGAATTGGAAGGTGTAGACCAGTGATGGCGAACCTTTTGAGCTTGGCATGTCAGCATTTTGAAAAACCCTAACTTAACTCTGGTGCCGTGTCACATATAGAAATTTTTTGATATTTTCAACCATAGTAAAACAAAGACTTATATTTTTGATACTTATTTTATATATTTAAATGCCATTTAACAAAGAAAAATCAACCAAAAAAATGAGTTTGCATGTCATCTCTGACACGCGTGTCATAGGTTTGCCATCACTGGTGTAGACCCTTGAAAACTAGGCAGAGGAGTAGGAAAGAGGAAATAAAAAATTTCTATAACAGTAGTAGACAGAAAGCATTATTTATGAAAAATCAAACTGGCAGTGATGAATAGGTTGGACTGGAGAAATAAAGCGACCAGGTGATCAATTGAAATTATTGTGGAAGCTATCTGGTGACAAGGAGGTAGGGTCCAAAACAAAGGCACGAAGACTAGCAGGGAAACGGGCCGATGGGTCTCTGAGGCTGGCTGATATGAGGGATCCAGACACATGAGTGAAAGTGTTTTTTTTTCTTAAATTTAATAACAGCTAAAATGTATTGAGTGATTGTTAAAGGTTGTATCAGGCACTTTGGTTTAGTCTCTAATTCAATCTCATCTATTCCTCACAGTAATTCTATGAGGTGGAAACTATCATTTTTATTTTACTGATAAGGAAATGGGCTGGAGAAGTTCAGAAAATTTTCAGAGTCACCCTGCTAGTAATTAGCAGAGTCCTTTCCACCTCAGAGCTCAGTCACCTCTGGAGATGGGATGGATATTTGTTCTTTTTACAGATAGAAACAGTGGAAGAAAAGAGATATGTTTTGGATATTTGAATTGTGAGATGATCATCGGAAAACACTAACATATCGTCAACAGCTTAGAGCTTGATTTAATAAGTGATGAGCTTTCCAAATGGCGTATTAATTAGTATATTGGTTAAACTATAGGTCCATCAGCCATGTGGAGGGCGACTTCCTCTGTGAGCACAGGGCACCTTAGGGAGCAGGAAATGTCTAGTGAGGACATGCCCAAGACAGGGACCTGGGGTTGTTGCCCCAAGGCCAGCTGCTGCCTACTAATACCCTGACTTCCAGGGCTGCTGCGGGAGGCACAGACGGACCTTCGGGCTTGTAAAGCCTACAGTTAGAGAGAATTATTTGACCTGCAGGATTCTGAGGGCCACACAAAGGCTAAGATGTGCTTTTCTTCATTTTCTCTTTGACCAAATCACTGAGGCTTTAGGGCAGTGGTTCTCAACCTTCTGGCCCTTTAAATACAGTTCCTCATGTTGTGACCCAACCATAAAATTATTTTCGTTGCTACTTCATAACTGTAATGTTGCTACTGATATGAATCATAATGTAAATATCTGATATGCAGGATGGTCTTAGGGGCCAAAGGGGTCGCGACCCACAGGTTGAGAACCGCTGCTCTAGGGGCTGTTCATCCTGAAAATATCACACACATCCTCTGGAGACTGGATGCAACCTGGTGGGTGTAGTGTTTTATGGTTTGTTTGTTTTTTTGTAATGTTGTTTTTAATCTTTAAAAAAATCTTCTGTCTGCTTTCCCCACTTTGCAGTGGTTTGAATGCTAATCACAAACAAATTGTGCAAAAAATAAAATAAAATAAAAAATGCAACCACATAAAAGTAAACCGTGACTTCGTGTGGTCTATTTGAAAAGGGGCTGATTTTGATGACAGAAAAAATGTGAACCATGACATCAACATTCAGAATTGCAACTCATTGATTTTTCTTTAGCACTTCTGTTTTTCTCTCTCGCTCATGCTCTCTCTGAAGACAGGCTTGCTGGGTAATTCATAATGGAAATCTGAGTGAAATCATATGACTTTATTTTGATGTTACTGATGTGTCTGAGTAGCACGTGAATGTCTTGAACTCTCAGTTGTTTGAGATTTTTAATGATTTTATTTGCTTAAGAAAATGGAAAAAAACTGAAACGGAGAAAAAATCCATGAGTGAGTTTAAAAGATCACTGAGAAATGGCAGCGTATTCCGCTGTATGTAAATAGGGCCCTGAGATTCTACCTTTCATCCAGACTGCGGCTGACTGAAACCCTTTGTTCAAGTGAGACTGGCGGAGCCGTGCTTGGCATAGCCGACTATCAGAACCTGACCACTCACCTAAATGTGCCTCTGACCTTTTGCACTTTTTTTTTAAAGTTTAGTTTTTATATTAAATGACAATTAATAAAAGCAACACATGATAATTATTATATTATAATGAATGGTGTACCAGTAGTCCAGAGACACACAAATGACACAAACAGGGTAAAGCAGAAATTAGGTGATCACAAAGTAAAATAAATACCACAATATTGGTAGATACACACCAATGTTTAATTGATCTGTTAGGAAATCAATGTCACATTAGATTATAACTTCCTATTCATTGGAAACAATCTAGCACATACTATTTGTAAGTCATTTTATATAACAAAAAATTGTACTGACGTGTAGTGTTTCTAAATCTTACTAATAAGAAAAGTATTTTTGATCTCTCTCTCTCTCTCTCTCTTTCTCTCTCTCTCTCAAAGTTCACCTCTTCTCATTCACAGTTAATTTACTTACCTTAAACCACCAAAATTCCACTGCTGGACTACAGTGAAGTCAGACCTGATATTATACTTTTTATCTCTAGAAAATTTGTGCAGACATTCAAGACTCAGTGGTATGGTAAAATTTGTTGGAAGGGGCTTATCAATTGGAAATACCTTTAAGGAACACAGAGAGTCAGAATTTGGGGGCATTCATATCAAAGATGGAATTAGTACATATCAGAGAATATTTCCATTTATTCCTTCAGTACTTTGGGCCATTTACATTTTCGATTATTTTTAATTTATCACATAGATCCTATCTTGTAGAAATTCTGAGCGTGAGTTTCAATCCTGAAATATTAAAGGTGTACAAACATTGCAAGTGGACGTGGGAAATCTCACATGCTTCATGATAGCAAGTACAGGAGGTACAATACAAATACCGCAGCAGAGAGGTTAAAGCAGTGCACAGTTGGAAGCTTTCTATATGAACACTACAGATTAGTTAGGTGAAAACATGCTAACTATTTGCTTGGTACTTTGTTAACTTGTGTTTTTAAATGTTTTTTGTTTGTTTGTTTGTTTCAATTCTTGTGAGGTAACAGTGATACCTCATGAAATCGGCTTCTTTTTATGTGTAATGCACCACACACACACACACACACACACACACACACACACGGAGTCAAAGTCAAAGGCAGTGGGTGGTGTATGTCAGGGCTGGTCTTGACGCTCCTCTCCAGAATAAGATAAATGTAAGTGATGAAGAGCTCCTGGGGTTGGTTGAACTCATTTTGTATTCAGCCTCTGCCTGGCCCCTTTCTCATCTCTTTCTCCCTCTTTGTATGTCCAAGCCTACTTGAGTTTCTTTTTTCTTTTGTAGAACTTGGTTCTTTTGATGTGTTTCAGGGCACGCCCTGTGCCAAAGCGAACTTCCCAGGAATCGGAAACACAAGCGCAGGGATCTGAAACAGCCACTTTGCAGTAGCCAGAAAGGCTCAGGCCCAGAAGCTGGCTTTTCTTTCTTTAAAAAGAAGCACCAAAACACATAACAGGGAACAAACATGCAATATAGTTTAATATATGATTTTAAAGGAAATGTACAATAAAAGTTAGTTGCAAAACAGGCAGCTGGTGAGATTTTTAACCTGGATTGAGCCCATGAGAGCAATTTAACCTGAGACATGTCTACATGCATTTGTATTTTTGTTGGTTTAGTCAAATTTCCACTGCAATTATAAATTTATTTGTTTCTGTCTCAGTGCAGCTATGGCATCAGCATTGCTGAGGTTTTCATGGTACATGGTTCTCAGTGGTGCACTACGATGATGGGAGGCAGTGCAGCGCTTTAACCACTTACATGTTTATAAAGTTGAGAGAAATGTTGCTGTAACTATTGTAAGGCTAATGTTAGAAGCCACTATCTAATAGAAAGTCTACATCAAAGGAGGAGTTAATTATTTTATATCTCATATCAGTATTTCTATTTCCATAAATTAGCAAACTTAGTAAAATAGTGTTATGTTTTATTTAAAATATCTGTTTACTCACATATTGTACTTTATGAGGCAAATCTTTCAGGACTATGTCACTGAATTAGAACTTGAAACTGAAAATAAAAAACAGAAAATAAGGAAAAAGTGCAGTTTAAGTTTATACACATACAAACTTATCCCCTTAAGATGTTCAAATAATAGTTACATTCAATTTTTATCCAGGTCTCATGAAGAAACCTTTTTAAAAAACCAAAACAGCTGAAAAGGCAAACAACTAGAAATTTGATATTTATCTGGTTTGATTGATTTAGAAAAGAAATCTTTATTAATTAGGTGTATTGTTTACTTTTATATAAATAGGTGAGTTTACTCTCATGTTTGTGTATTGCTGGCCTACTGAAAAATAGCATGTTACTCACTGAAAAATAGATATAGAAAAAAAATAGAAATTTAACCAACAAACAGTTAAGTTTCTTCAATAAAAGTAGATTCAGTTTAGTAAATGAATTGAATGCTATTTATGTGTGTGTGTGCTAATGACATTATCTATGAACTTCTAGGAAAATAATTAGTGGTTTCACTGAATTCATTCAGCATTTTTCTAAGGCATTCTATGCTTAGAAAACCAATCAACCAGCTAATTGCTAAAGTTCATTTTAACTTTGGTCTTTATATCCACAGCTTAAAAGAAAGAGAGAAAATGGTTTCTGAAATAATTCAGTTATTCAAATACTAGAGGCCCAGTGCACGAAATTCATGCACGGGAGGGGGGGGTGCCCTCAGCCCAGCTTGTACCCTCTCTAATCCGGGACCCCTTGGGGGATGTCCGACTGCCGGTCACCCCATGCAGCCTGGTGCTCAATCATTTGGTTGTCCTTCACTAACGCCCCTGCTGGCCTGGTCGCCCCATGCAGCCTGCTACTCAGTAGTTTCGTCATCCCTCACTAACCCCCCTGCCGGCAGTCGGACATCCCTCTCACAATCCTCTGGCTCCTAACTGCTCACCTGCCTGCCTGCCTGATTGCCCCTACTGGCCCCCCTGCCAGCCTGATCACCCCTAACCACCTCTGCCTGCTGGGTCACCCTTAACTGCACCGCTCCCCCTGCTGGCCTGTTTGCCCTTCACTGCCCCCCTATGCCAGCCTGGTTGCCTCTCACTGCCCCCCCTGCCAGCGTGGTTGCTGTCAACTGCGCCTGCTGCCAGCCTGGTCACCCCTCACTGCCTTCCCTGCCAGCCTGATCACCCCACAGAGCCTGCTGTTTAGTTGTTTGGTCACCCCTCATTAACCCTCCTGCTGGACTGGTCGCCCCACGCAGCCAGCTGCTTAGTTGTTTGGTCGTCCCTCACTACCCCCCTGCCAGCGTGGTTGCCCCACGCAGCCTGGTGCTCAATCATTTGGTTGTCCTTCACTAACCCCGCTGCTGGCCTGGTGGCTCCACACAGCCTGCTACTCAGTCGTTTCGTCATCCCTCACTAACCCCACTACCAGTCTTGTCGCCCCACTCAGCCTGTTTGGTCGTCCATTCGGTTGCGATGGCCCCTGGCTCTTTATATACATAGATTGGTCAAATACATCTTTCAAACAATAATATGGGAGGATTATTTTAAGAAATTAGGAAAAACTATAAAATAACTTTTATAACAGCAATGCCTCATGAGTTCCTTCCACATGTACCCATGTTGCTGTTTATGAGTATTTGTATAAATATCTATAAATAACATAAAAAAAACTTCTTTAATAATAGAAAAGGCTGGGAATTCACAATACTAACTTAAATGCTATCTGGAAAGTTAAACAGGGCTATTTTACTTAAATAACATTTTTGGTACATTACAAATATCCATAGAAGAGTACAAAGGAAGTATTTTTATCTCTCTGGTGCAACCAAAATGAATCCTATTTCTTTCCTTAATGTTACATAGTATTTCTAGAAACCAGATCCAATTTGATCCTAAATTTAATAAGATTTGCAGGAGCACATCAGACATTGCCTCTCTTTTCAGCTGTATGTCCATAAAACCCTAAGCGACTGGTTGACCGATCGCTATGACATGCACTGACCACTGGGGGCAGACGCTCAAAGCAGGAGCTGCCCCCTGGTGCTCAGTGTGCTCCCACAGCAGGAGTGCCGCTCAGCTGACCAATGGGTGCCAGACGCCGGGCTCATGGCTGGTGAGCGTCACTGCGGCAGTGTGAGCCTCTCCCGGGGACACTCCTGCTGCCTGCACCTCCCCCACCCAGGGATCAGGACCAGCACTGGGACTGACTGGTGCCAGCCCAAGGCAGGCCGGGCACAGAGGTCAGGATGAGTGGAAGCAGCAGCAGGCTTGGACTCAGGCTCCTCCCCAGCTGCCTGCTACAGCCCGATCCCCGCACGCCACACGGAGGGACCCCACGGTGCATGAATCCGTGCACTGGGCCTCCAGTCGTTTATAAAGGTCAGTGAAAGGCACGGGTTCGGCAGGAGCTGTGCACAGGGCTCCGAGTTTACACAGGATGGCTGCTGTCACACCACATCCCAGCAACTGCCAGAGCGTGTATTACCGGGGTGCTAGAAATCTTGTCTTGCTATAGTCACAGGTACTTTCTACCTCTGCCTTCTTGGCACTGGCATGACCTTTGACCTATAAAATGACATTGGAATTTGGCATGCCAAGTATCAGACCAACACTTTTCACATTAGCTCCAACTCTAGTGCTTTTGATGCTTAAAACTATGTAAAATTTATGAGAAATTTAGCCATTTGAAACAGATCAATGAGTTCTATACTTAGCAATGTTTCCATTTATTTGACGACTAAAATATGATTTCTATTTTTTTTTAGTTCTTCACATCACAATTTTTTAAAAATTTTATTTAATTTTCCCCAACACCATTTATCCCCTCTATACGATTTCTTGAGTGTCTCACTGAACATTATTACAGCCAGGTATACAGAAACCACTTGGGAAAACAGACACCTATGAATTTTTTCAAATAATTTCCTTTTTAAACAGAAACTAAACATAGTAATTGGGTTAGAAGTTAGTTGACTGAATTAAATTGGATTTTAAATCTAACTCTTAATTACATAAAGAATAAAATGGTATACTTGAGGTACCACATCTACCTAAATAATACTGACTGGTTACTTTTATTGATTACATTTTCCAGATAACCACATATTTCTCTTTCACTACTGAAATTGTGAAATGTTTCAGTTATTCAAAGTGTAAGTGTTGGCTAGCTTCCAAAAATGTTATTTATTTAAAAAATAAATAGCTGCTTGGCTCAATTTAATGTTCTTTTATTTCTATTTTCTCACCCCTCCAATAGCTCTATGTGGATGTAATCTCAATCTTTTTTTGAAAGAACATTGGGCTAGTGTTCTGTACAGTTTCCCCTTGAGCTCACAACTAATTTTTAAGGATTTTAGAGATCATCTATTCCAAACCTCTCACTTTACAAAAGAGACAGTCTTGGAGACCTTACATGACTTTTGTGACTCAGATCAAATACCATAGTAGGTTCTCAACAAAGGTGTGTTGACTGAAGGAACCCATGTAGAGCCCATAGATATAACACCAGAGTATTTAAGACATTTCATTGCAAAGACTTAGTCACAATAATAAAATTTCATAAACACACTCTCTCAAAACCATGAGTTAGGAATCGTTAATAGATTCTACAATTGTAAAAACTATTTAACGAATAAGACCATTAAGTTTAGAATCGCCAAGTGATTTGCCTGAGGTCGGACAGCTAAGCAAGCAGTGGAAGAACTGAGACTTGAACTTCGGCCTTCTGAGTTCTGAGCCATGATGAGTAACTACTGTGCATACCGTCTTATAACCTGCTTTTCCCTTGCTCTCCCTTTTCTCTGCTCTGGGATAAAGGGCAGGGAGTGGTGTTAGTTGTCTTTGTAATCCCAGCCTGCTTGGATAATAAACAGCGCTTAACAAATGATTGCCACACGAATCAACCCAGGACTCCGGCTTCCAGGTCCAGCTCTCTTGCTTCTGCACCGTCTCCATTCTGAGGGTGGGAGGTGGCATCTGAGAACAGAGAGGGAGCCAAGTCTCTAAGGGATAGGCATGCTTCAAATCATCTAAACTAGCAAACCTTATACTATGTTGTCAGTGACTTAAGAACAATTCTGCTTCCTGAATGAGGACAGAATTTGTTGCAGTTTCCCACTGCACCTGCTACATGAGGAGTCAATGTCATGTGCACAATGCATGGTCTACATTACAGTGATGGCGAACCTTTTGAGCTCGGCGTGTCAGCATTTTGTAAAACCCTAACTTAACTCTGGAGCCGTGTCACATATAGAAATTTTTTGATATTTGCAACCATAGTAAAACAAAGACTTATATTTTTGATATTTATTTTACATATTTAAATGCCATTTAACAAAGAAAAATCAACAAAAAAAATGAGTTTGCGTGTCACCTCTGACACGCGTGTCATAGGTTCGCCATCACTGACTCTACAAACTCATGTGTAATTTATTTATTTATTTTTAAAAATATATTTTATTTTATTTTTTTACAGAGAGGAAGGGAGAGGGACAGTTAGAAACATCGATGAGAGAAAAACATCAATCAGCTGCCTCCTGCACGCCTCCTACTGGGAATGTGCCTGCAACCAAGGTACATGCCCTTGACCGGAATTGAACCTGGGACCCTTCAGTCTGCTCTATCCACTGAGCCAAACAGGTTAGGGCTCATGTGTAATTTAAACTCGACCCTGTGAATTCAATCACAGTCATTAGGGAGGTTCCTCACTGTCTCCCCCATAAGTGCTTTCTAGTGGAGTTTGTGCCAAGGTCCTGGGACCTCGAACACTGCCACCATGTCCAGGAAGTTCCTGGGGGCCTGGGTGCACACTGGTTTTTCTAACGAGACACGCACGTCCCAGGCAGAGGGGAATGTGCCTGTCAAGTCCAAAGGCTTTGCTGCTTCTGTTCCTCTTTTGCAGTTGGGATTATTTGGGATAGACTGCTGCCTCTCAAGATCCCCTTTCACTGACAGCTCCCTCTCCCCAACCCACTGCTCCCCCTTTTTTGGGGGGAAATTTTTGTCCCCCTTCCTTCTTAATGCTCTCAGAGTAACTCTGGCAGCGTTGCCTCTCC